GAATTAGGTGTCTTTTAGGTGTTAATTAGGGCCTCAAAAATTAATTTAGGTGTTCCTTTGGTTTCCGAGAAATTCGCAAAAATGTGTGGTTTACGTAAACCTAGCTGACCCACACATTTTTGCGAATTTCTCGGAAACCAAAGGAACACCTAAATTAATTTTGGAGGCCCTAATTAACACCTAAAAGACACCTAATTCCTAGCTAATTTTTATTGATTTTTGGCGACTTGGGTCAGCTAGGTTTATGGACGTCCTAAAAAGTAAACTTCAAATGCGTTCTAATGCCGCCCTTGGCACGAGCTATACATAAGTACAGATGTATGTTTTGCTCCATCTCATCTGTGGCTTTAGCTACTCCACAGTCTGCTGTACCAGCTGGCTGCTGGGGGTGTAAATACTCTGAATATTGAATTAGTAAAGCTACTGCCCGCATTGGAATGTACCGAAAAGCTGCTTTTCATCGTACACAGCTACTCTCTTCGAACCTGCCTCCCTTAGCAACAAATTTGCAATGCGTTGCAATTGTATTTATTTATTTATTTATTTTTTGTTGCTTGTACGGGTATAATCTTCTTGCCTTTCATTGTGTCTGTGTCATTGGACTTTGGAACACAGCTTCAATGCCACTCCCACTCTACATACAAATTTATGCATGTCTACATACAAAGCGAAATCCGTTTGACTGTGCCGTCTTGTCAGAAACTTGCCTGCCAACTACACCTTATTCGTGTAGATATTTGTGGAGCCATGTCAGCGCGCATTGTCCACATCCCCATCATGGTGCACCGACGGACGGCAACAGCGCCAGTTTCATCTGCGGCCTGTTCTGCCTGTCGTGCTGCACGCCGTCCATCCCCTCTTCATTGACATTGTTATTCCATGCTCGTCCTTATGCCTTTTGCTGTCTGCACTGTTGCATATTTTATGCGTTCGCCATCCAATTCTATACTTTCTCATTGATTCGTCAGGTCGTTGTCATTGCCTTTGTTGTACATTTCTTTTGTACATTTGTTGCACATGCTCACACGTATGTTTGTATGTACATTAGACCACACCTGAAAAAAAGTTCGACTCACCCCTGAGTCTAAAGTATTTTTGCAAGGCAATTTTTATTTTTTTATTTATATTTTGACGAACGTAGGAGTCTCCTTTTTACATTTCTTGTCATACCGTCGGATCTGTAAGTATGATATATCAATGTTCTTGTCTCGGGGTGACTAATTTTTATGTTTCGAAGTTAATTGATCTCAAGTACCCCGTTCTAGTACCTACCAGTTCTCAGTTCTTATCACCCTAACATAACACCCTAAATTTGGCAGAGCAATTCTGGCTAAGATAGTTGCAAGTCTTTTGAAAGACAGTAGGCAACATATTTATTCTGGCAACTTTCGTGGTGAAAAGCTCTTTAGTTGTTGTAACAGCATATAAATTCCCCAAAGAGATTTTGGGGAGTGTTGCTGGAGTGGTGGCAGTCCTTGGTCAGATAAATATCTATCTGGGTCGTTCCGGTTACGTAGACTCGACTGTCGTGGGAACGGAAAAGCTCTTTTGTCAACAGCAGCAGTGGCCGAGTGAGCAAAGCAGCGTTATTTTTTCTTTTTGTTTTTACTTAGTAAAAAATAGTAAGCTTTAATTTTTAGATTTCGTTGTTTAAAAAAAAACTCATATTAACATATATGTATTTTTTATGATGATTCAGTTTTAATTTAATTTAATTTTAAAAAGAAAACAATTTTTTTAATTTGCAAAAAGTTATATTTTTGTTTTAAATCTTTTACTTTATTTTTATATTTTGTAATTTTATTTTCTTTTAATTTAGATTTTATATTAAAAAAAAATCTTTTTAATTTGATAAAATCTTTTGGAACTTATGTACAGTAATGTAAAAAACAAGTAATTTTTAGCAAAAAAAAACCCGACTTCAACTCTCATATAAAAAAAAACACATATATATGTATATATATATCTCATGATCCACTAATCGGATCTTAACCAGATTAGTATGGGATCACCTCTGAGACACTACCTTTCCGAAAAGAATTATCGAAATCGGTTGACGTGGTCCAAAGTTATGCGGTAACATACATAAAAAATTAAAAATAAAAAGTATTCCGACGAACTGGTAACCTCCTCCTTTTTTGGAAGTCGGTTAATAATAGGAACACGACATTTTAAATAGTTTTGGCTATTTTTCTTTTGTCTGTTAAATGTTTTTTTTTTTATAAAAATTTTATAAAAATACATTTCTTTATCTAACAAAAACTGTATTAGACCAAATTTCAAACTTTGTAGAAAATTTTGAAAATTTCAACGATCAAAGAAATCACGTTGATTTTTGATATTTCTTTTTGCCTATGGTGAAATCATTTTCTTTCATACAAAAAAAAAAATGTCGAACATACAGGGAAGAAAATGCGTGCGACCGTCAGGAAAAAAAATCATAAAAAACGCGATTTCTTAGCCACCTCAAATTTGCACTTTCTTAAGCTAGAAAATTTTTATAATTTTTTCTACGAAGCGTGAAATTCGGAAT